GAACCTTGCTGTGCAGCACACGTTGACCTCGTCGGAATCGACGGTCGAACTGTCAGTAAGTTGGATACTTCCCATGCAAGGAAAGTCATGTCGTTAGAAAGATACCATATAGAGCTCAAATGATTTTGCAATAGGTGTGGACTGTGCTGTAATTTCATAAGAGGCACGAATAGACGGATAGATACAATACCATCTGATTGGACAGATCACGGTAATAAAGACCTCAAAAAAGTATTAAATTTTGCAGGATACGTTATTTGCTATCAAAGGCATTTAAGAAAACGTATTTTCGAACCTGCCCTCCATACAGTGGATTTAAATTTACGAAGGCACTTACACTGATGAAAAAATGCGGTTTTTGTAGGCGTCCAAAAGGAGTTTCTTTCAACAGCCGGCATCCTTGTGTGATTTTTATATCCCGAGATTATGCTGAACGCAGAATAATCGATTTTACAACCCCGCCGAAGTAATTCTTTCTAGTAAAAAGCATGTTTTAGATTTTCAGCCAAAATTGCATGATATTAGTCCCTGAGTGCATGTCACACCTATTAACCTCCCCCACGACCATCCCTTTTTAAGTTATTTAAACAATTCGGGCTCATTGTTTTCTGCATTTGACAGTAGCGATACTCCCCTATTTCTGGGCAGGCGCTCTTGACACAAAACGTTCTCCTAGACTCTGGCCAGAGAACTTACTTCAAGCCTGTTTTGCGGAAACAGCCGGTTACCATTCATGCTGATAATATAGGCTCTAATGTTAAACATGCTGTTGTCTTTCGAATAGTTAGACCCCACCCAGATAGTTGGTAGTTTAGAACTAGATGATCCTGCGCACGACGACTCTCGGACTCAGGTCTTATGAACACATTTCTGCTAGTATGAGGACAAGTGTGCATTGGTCGTGCTAGAACTCCTAAATTTCCATATAGGCAGAACAGCGGGTTTTAGGAAGCGCTTGGCAAGAGGGAGACCACAGAGGTGTAACAGCTGATCTCCTTCTTTTCAAGTCCGCTGGACTGTCTTTGTTCAATTTTAAAATAAACAAATTTAGGCTGAGAATTGACAGATGGTAGATATGTCTGCAGCAGGTATAAAGGACCAGTTTTTCCTTCCAGAGCACGCCGACAAACAATCGACTGATCATAGCCGATTGGTATAATTATAATTGTACTTTTGAAATCTCAGTCGGTTTCCAGTAGTCACTAGGTTCCTCCTACTGTGTCTATGAACAGACATCTACGCACGGGGACAATATGCATTGCTAAAAAGGTGCATATCCTCCATGACTTGAATTCTTGCTTTGATGGTTAGGGGGTTTGACGGCGACGCGGTTTTCGTGGGAAAATTTTGGTCTCCTATCATGATGATAGTGTGCCCAATCCCGACTTAAGAGGATAAAACCTAACGCATCATCAGGGTAGTTTCAACGAAGTCACCACCACTATCAAAACTCCTTTAACTATTTACTGTCAGTTGTTTCTTCCCATGCAGTTTCAATACTGACCGTTAATGTACGCGTGAGTTAAGTCAACGACGTCTCACAAGAGTTACCTGAGAACCCTGTAAAATCCCCTTATTGGGAGTCGTTCTCTCCAACGTTAGTACTTTTAGCGGTCATTATAAATTCATTGAGACATTCTCGATCCTCTGCTAAAATGCCACGACTCTCGAGGGGCCCACTTCATGTCTGTTTTCATTCCTTTCCAGCTGGCTGGTGCTCAAAGATACCTACCTGGTGGTGCTCAAACCGCAGAAACTGGTGAACGAGGAGGAGAAGGCGGGGCAGTCCAAGACAAGCAACCGAACGGGCAGTCAGGAGACAGTTTCCACGACTGCTGACGTCGAGAACGGTCAGATGACTCATGGACGTGAAAGACGCTGGCATCGTGGTCGACGTTGGCGCTACTGTAAGGTCATCCTTGTCGACCAGTTCTTCAACTACTTCACTAAACCCTCCAGTATCGGACCTGTTTTTCATGTTGGAAACATGCACGGGTGAGTCAGTGAAACATGCTTGATCCTTCTTATATCCTATTGCTAATGTCCTCTGAGGGAACGGACCGAAAACTCCGCCTATTAATGAAACAATAACACCCCCTTAGCCGAGGAAATTACCCACAAAAATACCCCTGACGTCAATCAATGTTAGTTAACTGGTTTGAGCTGATTTTCTTGATAGATATACCAGTTTTACCTTGGAACTCCGGGTGTGCATCTCAAGCAAGTGATGACATAGTGATTAGTAATCAGTAATTGAGCACTGTTATCGGTAAAGAACAGGAGTAATCGGGATGGCCATTTTTGGTTTACTAATCATCATCAGTCACCAATGAGCAACGCCAGGTACTGATTCGGGACGCAGAGCTCCATGCAGATTGGAAATGCTCAGTTCTGTCTTTCGATTACTATCGACCGGTGAATCCTGTTTTCGTGCGACTTTGTATATTTTCGACCTCCCTCGACAGAACATGTTTTTGGTTACTCCTTAGGACTGTTTGAGAACCCACACTAATCATGTCCAGTCCCTAGGGGCGTAAGCACTGGGATGCATCAGCTCTGGGAATCGGAGTATCATTGATTGACGACGTTTAGTGTCTCAGTCGCTGTTGTCATTGATGCTTTGCCAAAATCACTATATATATAATGTGCATATCAGACAGGTTCCGTTTTTAACTCACGAGGAAAATAAGTTTCAGCCATTGAGTTTGACACAGATTTTACCTCAGTAAAATAAAAAAAATGTTTTGCAAATTTATTCGAACTCTTTGCCGCACATTAGACCTCAGTAGTACGCAGTCCTGACCTCAAATTTTTGTCCTAAACGCCAGCTGTATTTAAATCTCCAGGTTGCGCTGACCATGCCCTCGTCCAGCATTCTCGCATTTTTTTCTTCTCACGCAAGAATGTGCAACAGTAAAAGTGTAAATCTCTAGTTATTTCGAAATGACAGGTATATATCAAGTGATGTGCTTGTCTGTATACGAATGCAGGTAAGGTTGGTCACTTGGTAATAATTACAGCGGGTAATCCACCCCTATGACGGAATTCAGATGCACATTATTCACGAGCGGTGGAAATTTAAAAAAAGGAATTTTATTTTAATTGCTGAATGACATTACTCCGGTCCATCAATGCCTATCGACTATAAAATTAGAATTATCACGGTTGGGACTATTTAATAAGGGCAGCTGTGCAGGCCTGTTGATTGATGCGTGTATAATCTAGTTTTTTACAAAAATACACTTTTTGCGAACTGTTGATCCACCAGTGAGCACAACAAAGCTAGGCGCAGGAAGGTTGGTTTTTAGTAAAGCCAAATGGTTTTAGATTTAGGGCTATCCACTGCTGTGTACACCGCTATAGAGTGTGCTCCAAATTTGGCTGTTTGGGATGCTCGAAAATATCCTTTCATTCAGAAATGCAGACAGTTAGACACAGGGATATGGACCTCGCATCACAGGAGGCCTCGCGAAAAATCCCAGGGAGTACCTATTTCCGTGTCTTGACTTTGACTATAATCCCCCCTTCCCTGGAATTCAAGTCAAGGCCATTCTTGGCCGCATGTTGCTATACTAGAGATCTTGAGTCGTCCGCTCATCACACGTTCCCGCGGATACTGCCATTGAACCCCAACAGCTTTGGAGAAAGATTGGCTATCGACTTCCCTCATACGTCTGGCCCCACGCCAAATCCTGATTAGCCAGCTATTTGGCTTCACGGGGACCAGCTCTGCTGTCCGTAGGTGGGTCCTTTGCGGCTAAGATCAACATGGTATAGCCAAAAAACCAAGGACTTCGGATGTGCAACCAATGTACCAAATATGTGCGCCAGTGCGGGGTTAAGTGACCGCGGCAGCGTTTTCCTTGTTCCAAGTTTAGGGACAAATGCTGGAGAAGAATTTACAGGATGGGGGAGGAAAATTTTTCCAGCTCGTGGCTGAAAGTAAAAAGTTAGACTCCAAAAATTAAGTATGTGTTAGAAAGCAAATGGGATTCGTTCGTGGACCCACTGATGAGCCAAACCCCTCGCAGCCGTCTCATGCAGTAGCACGAAATTGAAAAAAATAGCTGAATATTTAACTAATACCTGCATGTTTTGTATATGGGACCAGTAAATTTGTGTAAAAACAAGTTACTCATTTCGCTGTGGCCAACGTATCTCTGAATTTCTTCTGACAAATGAGTCAGCAATGAGCACTAACTTTCTGGCAACTATTGGCGGAGGTGGTACCTAGACCGAGAGAAAACAGCCTTCTTCTGGATTTTCTAGAAGAGCAGAAGGCTTGTTTTGCCGTTCCCATGGAACCAGTTTTTGTGACCATAATTATGCATTTGCTTCAATTCACCGTTATTCTCACAGCGCGGATAGTTTCCAACTTTAGCCTTGATTAATCTTGTAGTATTCAGTTAACTAGCTTCCTATCATTAAGACTTTCTTCATCTTGAACAAGGAGACACGATCGCCGGGACAAGAGCTTTATTAGCCTGACGTTTCGGATCCCTACTCGAATCCATCATCAGAGACAAAAAAGCAGAAACGGGTGGTTGTTGCACAAGGGGCTGCGGTATTTATAGGATGCAGTAACCATGCTACCGCATACCTATGAACATTCACAGCTCCCCCCTTCATCCGGGATCGTCGCACTTGGTGTGATCATTGCTTGATGGCCGACATTCGAGTCGATAATTGCTGCAATTTCATCACGTGCGTTGGATGTTGGCGTGATGATTGTTCGACCATCTGACGCACCGACCCCGGTGTTGGGAAAAGTGTTCACCTCTGTGTTCCCCGCATGGCTTGTTACTCCGCCTAGGCGAAGTTTCAGCACGGAGTATGGAATGGGAAACTCGTTGCACTTGTTGATGGACTAGGGTCCAGTAAACCATAATTCCAGTAGCTCCCGGCTCACGCGGTTGTCACCTCTTGCGAGAATTTCGGCCTCATCGAATCTGAATGTGTGGCCGGATCTCTTCGAATAAGCCGCAACTTGAGAGCTGGCGTCATTTCTGCGCACCGCTGCCGCGTGTTCGGCCATTCTCTTTCGGAGCTGTCTTCCGGCGACCGACAGTTTCCGAAACGTTCTTGACATACGAAAGTGCCCGCCAAGATTTGGTGTCCGTGCGGTTAGGCCTTTCGTCCCTTTTTCGTATGCACCGGTCGACGAAGTTGCGCGGGTAGCCATTGGCTTTGAAGACTCGTCGGAGGTATTGTAGTTCGGCCATTTTGTCTTCCGGCTCACTGCAGTGGGTTTCGACACGCCGATAGATCGTCCTTACACAACTGCGTTTGTGGCTGATTGGGTGGTTACTGTTGAAGTTCAGTACTTGCATCGTATTTGTCGCTTTCCTGAACACTTTGGTCTTTAGTCCACCACAATCCTTGCGGTATACGAGGACATCCAGGAAGGCCAGCGGGTTAATCTCTTCCTCCTTCATTGTAAATTTAATGTCCGAGAAGACGGCGTTGAGATGTTCTTGGAATGTCAACACCTGATCCCATTCGATGACGAAGAAGATATCATCCACATACCGGGCCCAGAATTTCGGTCTGTGGTGTTGGAAGACCAACGACTCTAACCGTTGCAGGACCACCTCGGCGATGAATCCCGAAATCGGCGAACCCATTGGTGTGCGCTTCACCTGTTCGTAGATTATCCCATCGAACGTGAAGTACGTCCTGAGACAGAGCTTCAAGAGCTGAAGGACTTGGGCGTGTCCAAGACGGTTCTCCGTTTCATCGTATTTGCTTTGTAGCAGCAGCTCGATTGTCTCGATCGTCAGGTTCTGGGGAATAAAAGTAAAAAGGGATGTAACATCAAAAGATATCATGATCTCATTTGGATGGATGCTTACCCCTTTGAGTTTCTCCAGGAATTGTGCTGACGAAGAGACCGTGGTGTCTGACTCAGTTGTCAGGAACTTGAGACGCGGAAACAGGCACTGAGCCAGTCCGTACGTTAGAGTCCCTTTGAGCGACACGATGGGTCGGAGAGGAGCGCCGTCTTTGTGCACCTTAGGGAGGCCAAAGAATCGGGCCAAAGCCGTATCTTGGGGTCTCGCCATGCGTCTGTCGATCGGTGCTATTGCACCTGAGTACTCCAAGGCCAACAACGTGGCATTAATTTCGCGTGTCAGTGCCTTTAAAGGGTTCGTTGCACATGGAACATAGAACTGTCGGTCCTCCAGTAAACCTTTGGATTTTGAAGGCGCTGACGTCGCGTCTTGTCAGCCGCTACACCCAATCGCATTCCTACTTGGCTTGCCTCTATACATCATATACGGGCAAGAGTGAGACGCAAAATTGACATCGCTCCAAGTCCGACACAACGCCTTGTTCTTCCCTTTGAAGAGCGAAGTGTGGTAAGAAACCAGCACGACTCGTCAAGCGGCTTGAAGCACTATAAACTGGATTGGCAACCCGGTCTTGCTGATGACTAAAGGCCAGGCTGTATTGGTTCGCTGTTACTGTGACCTATTATGGCACCTTTACCTGCGACAGCTCCGATCCCCAGACCCGGATGTGCTGGGAGTTGGGACCCGGGTTGTGTGTGGTGCGTGTAGACGGACCGTTTAGTTTTTCGAGCCATAAAATGCTCGTCCTCCTCCTCTGTTCGTTTTGACTTTGTCTTGACCCTGGAACACAGCTCATATGGGTAGATACAGAGAGAGAGGGAGAGAGAGAGAGAGCGAGGCGTCAAAGTCTACTCCACTAGAAAAAACTCATGTGTAGGTCGCCGCTGCACCCATGTTGTGGGCAGTGGAGGATCTCGCTGCTCGCGACGATCGAGCTATCAGGCGTGTTGGTGTGTGTGTGTATGTGTTTGTGTGTCCAGTGTACCAAAAAGGCAGTGCATAATAATTACGTACAAGGTGACTAGCGCAGCGTACACCTGGTCTAGCGGCTGTGATACTGGCTCGCCTGTTCTTTACTGTTAGCGTGTGGTTGAAATATTTTATCGTGTAAGTCTCGTTATTAGATTAATGAGAGGTTGATAACCAATGCTGTCAGCGCATGGGTCAGTGGATGTGGACTTGGTGGAGGTTAGCATAACCTACTCTCTACGCAAGCTAGCAGGCTTCTTATTCGATTATACATCGTCCTCCCAGTAAGGATCGTGGGTTAGCGGAGAGTGCTTTTGCACTTTTATGGGACTTCCGTTCGAAAACCGACAGAAACGGCGAGTTCACGGTTGTTCCATTTCCTCATACGCTAACCTGATATTCATCTTACAAGGACCGGCTTCCTACACGATTTAGTCATGTATCATGCGAAGCGTAAAAATGTTTTCAATCAGGGACGTACTCATTCACCACCTCTGGATAAGTAGACTCAGTGTCGTGTGAGCAGACGTCTCGCTGCAGATGATGTAGTGAAAGCTCCTGTTAGGAGGAGCCAAATATATTGTCGTGAGCTCCATTTTCAGGAAAGATGAAGTAGCCTTCCTTGCAGTTGGGCTCAATAATCATCATCTCGGCCCTGAATCCCATGTCTTCGGACCTCCGGAAGATGTTTTAACTTGAGAACGCAGGTGGGTGTAGTAACTAATTACTTCTGATGCAGCTGGTTAATGTAATATACATAGATGAATAAAAACATCTAAATTCAGTGGGAAGATTTCTAGTACATAAGTAGTTACTCTATATCGCCTGTGAATTTTACAGTCGGCCCTAACCATTGAGCCACGGACTTCTGGTCCTTTCGGTTGCGACTGGGTATATTAACAAATATATTAATACCCTTCCTTGTCTTGGTCGGAATATTGTTTTGCCCATATTACGCGCCTTTGGGTGGCTGCTTGCGAAGCTTGAAAGAGAACTCCAAGTCTCAACGATAGGAATTAATTTCGTAAAATGCTCCGTGCGCGCCCCTCCGCCTTGTAAGATTGTATATGTATATATCTATCAGGAATGGGCGCACACCGATCTATTGGCTTCACAAAGCAAACAAGCTCCGTATGTGTGGCAAAGGTCACGAACAGGCAACCAATTACCAGGCCGAAGTCGGCCAAGTCATAATAGCAGCGAGGAGGGACGACAGAGAATGCGGGTAGATTGATACAGCACTGTTTCGGGCTTATTCTGCCTTCATTCAGCCAATCATAACCCTGACCACCAATAGCTGGAACCAGAAACACAGACATGCGTACAGACGCACCTGGCGCAGTCGGTCCACCACTGAGGCCTACCAGATGGGTCATAAGCACTTCATCGAACCGAAGTTCATCAGTGCCTCGCCACCTGTCATTCTCTGTCGCTGCAGATCGGGTATTTATCAATCAGGAATGGGCGCACACCGATCTATTGGCTTCACAAAGCAAACAAGCTCCGTATGTATATATCTAAATATATATTGTCAATTAAAGCGAAAATGCGCGTCCCCTGGGATAAATGAGAAGAAGAGGCGATCTCGGGAAGCATAGGTTTAATAGCCTGACGTTTCCAAAGCACACAAGTTTCCATCGTCGGAGGTGGGTTCTGTACGGCGCCTCACAGTATTTATGGGTGCTGAGCATGCGGGAGTGTTGTCGTTCCTACTGCTATTCGTGCAGGATCTGCTGCGGGAGGAGAAGTGAATTGCTGTCGTGCTGGTCGGTCCCTTCCTCCGTCTCCTCGTCGGGTGGGCTGTGTCGGGATGGCAACGGTCATTGACCTCGTCTGCATTGCCCGCATTTGTTGCGCCTGACCCGCGTTTCTCGTAATTATCCCCCGTTTGCATCTGCCCGTGTGCAACTCGGTGGTTGCTGGCCCGTTGCCTGTGTCTCCTTTATCGGTCTGCTGACCCCCGTCATCGGCGTTTGGGCGCGAACTGTGTTCACTTGGGCTTGTTGTGCTGACTTTCTGCCTTTGATTCCGTTGATTGAATCGCACTCGTAGGGCCTGGTAAGCCGCCGGGAGAATCGTGTAGCGGTTGATGGAAGTTGGTGTGGTGTGCCAGACTTCGAGCGTTTCCCTGGGTGTCTGGTATATATATATATATATATATGAGAAAGTGAAGGCTCTTCGGAATATTGAGTTGTACTCGTAAATTTTCAAGTCGGTGACACCGACCCGTCGTCAGACGAAATGAACAGAGGGAAAGTGAAGTCGGCAGACTAGGTCGGCTGGCGTGACAGGACAGACAACGACAAACAGACAGCTGATGGGTGAGAGGGGTGGGCACCTAGTTGTGGCACGCCGTGGGGCAGGGGAAGGGAAGGAAGAACCGTTAGGGCTCTCAGTGTTGGAGGCGGTGAAAAAATATATATATATATATATTCATATGTTGGATAGCTGAGGTAGTGTGCATTCCGAGATAATATGATGAAGATAGAAGGCTCGTCGGAAAAAATGGAGTTTTACTCGTAAATTTTCGAGCTGGTGACACCAACCCGTCGTCAGACGAAATAAACAGTGGAGAAAGTGAACTTGTCAGAATAAATTTGCTGGCGTGACAGGGCAGCCATTGACAGGCAAGCAACTAATGTGTGAATGGGAGTGGACAGATAATTAGGCTGGGATCCGTGGCGGGGAGGGAAGGGGGAACTGTTGCGGCTCCCTGTGTTGGAGGGTAGGGGGGATGACGATTTAATGGAACTATAGGCAGTGGACTTAATGGTCGTCGATCCGGCATGCGGGCGGAGGTCAGTGAGCCCAACGTAGAGGTGTTAGGGGTTGCAGTTGCGGTTCGCTGTGTCTGGGGGTGTAATGGGGTGACGAAATAGTGCGATTCTACATGGCCCAGTGTGGATTAGCGGCTGTTGTTAGGTCGTGGGCGCAGGTCAGTGAGCCGGGCACGCCGACCTTCGTAATGAGCATCTAGATCGACATGGCGATTGATGCTTGTCGTGTTAGAATGCCAGGCTTCGAGGAATTCACGAGCATGTCTGGTGTTCGCCATGGCAACAACTTCAGTTCCTTCCCAATTGAAGCGATGGTCGCATTCAATGGCGTGTGCAAACACGAGTAAAAAAGGGTCATGTCGGCGGTTGGCTAGTTTATGCTCGTTTATACGCGTCCCAAGTCGTCGGCCTGTATGACCAACATAGTCGCAAGAGCAGTTGGCGCACGGAATACGATAGATAACATTGGTTTGCTGCTCTTTATGTATAGGGTTTTTCACTCGCGATAGTGTTGAGCGCACAGAGGACGCCGGCTTGTAGGCAATGAAGATGCCAAACCGGTTTAGTTGTCGGGCGATCGCTTCGGAAATACCCTGCATGTAGGGTAGCGAGTAGAATTTCCGATGTTCTGGTCCCTCATTAGAACCAAAGCCTTGTGGTTGTCTTTGATGCCTGAGACAATTTTTTACAAAGCTGACCGGGTATCCGTTGAGTCGGAATAACCGATACAGGAAAGCGAGTTCTTTCTTAAGTAGATCATCGCTGCTGCAGCAGCGATAGGCCCGGTGGAAAAATGTTCGGACACAGCTCCTTTTATGAGCCGCAGGACGGTTGCTTTCATAATTAAGAATGTCGTCAGCACTGAAGTCTTTTCGGTAGACGCTTGTTGCAAGGCCGCCATCACTTAGTGTTTGGATACTAACGTCTATAAACGGGAGCATGCCTCCTGTTGCCTTTTCGCAAGTAAACTGGATAGCTGGGAAGAAGCTATTCAGACTCAGATGTAGTTGCTCAATTTCGCAGATCTTAAAGATAAAAAACGTATCATCTACGTATCAGAGCCACATTTTTGGTTTAAAGGTTCGCATAACTTCCTCTTCTAGTTGTTGCAGTACTAGTTCAGCTAGTAGACCTGATATGGGCGAGCCCATTGGTGTGCCCCTAACCTGTTGATAAAACTTTCCATCGAATTGGCAGTAGTTCTTGAGACAGAGTCTAAGAAGTTCTGAAATGTGTTCTATCGGAATGTTGGTTGTATTATCTTGCAGGCGTCGGGTTACGCTCTCAATCGCAAGGTCATGTGGTATTGAGAAAGACAGGGCAACGCTGAGTCGTTGACCTCACTCTCCCTTCCCACTTCCACACCCCAGCCGCTGTCCGAGCCGGTCAGCAGACTGGAGTGGGAAATGGGCGCGGTGGCTGTCACGGTCGACTGACCATGACTGCGCGCGCCACGGCACGACC